GTGAGCATCTGGTTGGGGGAAATTTTCCAGAATCTTCTTGGTGCACATTCTAATGGAAGGGATGCGGAGTGGGCCAGGGTGCTGCCTCATGAGGCACTCTGCTTCTCTGTACCCAGAGGGACCTCCTCTCCAGAGGAGAAAGGGCAACACGGCTGTGCTTGGAAGGGACCACCGTCCAGGGGTCTGGGGTGAACGCCGAGGCAGACTGCCTCCAGCGCTCAATTCTCAGTCACTGGCTCCACACCTCCCCCGTCCCCGAGGGAGCTGAGTGACGGACTGCTATCTGAAAGGTTGGAGGGTCAAGTCCATCTCCGAAGGGGCTCTGGGAAAGCCTCCTGAGAAACGTGGCCATCCTCGGAAGGGACTGCACAGCCTGTGGCTTTCTGGTGGCCAGGACCCGGGCCCTGCTTCAATGGTGGGAAGACAAGGATGAGCAGGAGGCCTGTGTTCACGGTCAGGGCCCATGCACTCTAGAGGGCAGAGCTGGAAACATGGGATGCAAGTCACATGGTGTGGTCAGTGCAGACAAGGAGATGCGCAGGAGGCCAGGTGGGAGATCCTTTGGAGACAGCCAGAGAAGGAGGAGCTCATGCTCGCCTAGGGAGTCCATGGCTGGGGACGAGGATCAGCAAGGACGCTGATGCCATCATCCCTCTCACCGTCTACCCTGAGTCCCCATGGGTGTCAGTCTGATCAGTGAAGCGCAGGTATGAGCCATCCCCATACCACGAGGCAGCCTGCTGTCCCCATCTGGGCCAGGGAGAAAGGTGTGTGCTCCAAACAGCAGTCCCCAAGGGACCAGTGATGTTGGATCAAGTCCTCTCCTCCTACCAGGCCAGCAGGGGCTGCTTCCTGGCTATTCAGATGGAGGGACTGGCAGGCTAGCTAACCTTCTGGCACTGCCCTCCTGGGCCAGCTGCCCACCTCGGACTCAGACTGGAGGCCCGGCTCCCTCCTGCTGTTCATGCGAATGCTCGACACCAGAAGCCGCAGCGCAAAGAGCAGTGCTGTTCGCCCCAGGAAGTGGCAAGTGCACACCCCTCCCCGGTGGTGTGGCTGCTGGCACCCAGGCACCAGGGAACCCTGGTGATGTCCAGGGATCCGAGTTGAGGGGCAAACAGCAGGGTCATCAGGTTGAACTCCCCAGTGTCCCAGTCTTTAAGGTCCTGGTCGAGGAAGCCCACAGAGGGAGTCCTACTCTGGCCTATGGTTCACTGTGAAAAGGGGTGGACACGCAATGCCCCACAGCCAGAAGAGCCCCACCAAGCTCAGCTGGGGAGAAGAACAGCAGCTGTTCACAGTCCTACATACATGCTCTCCCTTCCGGGGCGCAGCTTCCCGGAGCCTCGGATCGGGCGGGCAGAGAGGATTCAACCTGACAGCTAAAAGTCGAGTCGTTTTGTTAACAAGTCCTCAGATTACATTACTCTATGATTACACGGTATCGCAGTGTGATAAATTACTTAATAACAGGATTCCCAGTGTAGTTGCTTAATGGGAATTCAATAATTATAGGTGCCCGGGACTGCACTGCGAACCTATGAGATGCCAGCACCGTGTCTCTGATCTAATAACGCAGGACCTCGCTGGGGCTGTTGAGCTGGTGCTGAGCAGGCCAGGCAGCTGCAAGCATCACCGGGCGCCTCGGTGGGCTCTGAAGCCCCCAGCTGCAGGTGACAGCACCTCAGTAACGCAGTCGGAGGGGTTTGTGTCCCTTGTCAAATGCCTCAAATGTCCCGAGGCAGGCTGTTCTTCAGGGAGGATGGTAGATGGCTAGGCGACTCTTGTGGGAGGGACCCCAGGGTCCGCAGAGTGGAACGGCGAACTGATCCCAGTGAGGGGGCGACAGGAAGGCTGTGTGACCAGCCTCTAACTGTTTAGAATCCTCTTCGACACTGTGGACTCAGAGTGCCAGGGCTGCGGGCATCTCTCCTCTCCTGCAAAGGACACGGACTCTCTGGCGTCCTGTGGGGAGGGACCCTGCGGACCCTCGGATCTCGCTACTGCAGGACAGACGTGACACGCTGCCCAGGCCCTTTGATTTGCACTTTCAAGAGCTCTTCTGAAGAGTGACAATGCCTCAGGGCCAAGAAAACCGAACTCGGTCACTGCCGACTCCCAGAGACGCTGCAGGGCAGGGGAGCAGTGCCCCTGTGTGTTTGTTCCTGAGGCTACCACTCTCTCTGGGAATGGAAAGCCTGTCTTTCTCCCTTGGAGTGGCTGGTGGTTTCGAATTACGGACCATGCAGATTGGACCCTGCGGATCACAGCCAATGCTTAACCACTAGGCCACTGGCTGCACCTCCGTGATCCCATCCCGGGAGCCACACAAGCCTCTGTGGGGCTTACCCTGCTTGTGTGCATGGTGATGTCACTCACAGGAGCCCCTAGGAACGGAAGGGGTAACTAGCCCCCAATTTGTTGTTAATTTCCGAGTGATATTCCAGTCTCTGGACAATGGGGAAAAGTGAGAGTGGCTATAACACAGAAAGTGGCCTGGGAGACGGGCCTTGAACTCTTGAGCGTCTTAAACTCCTGAGAATATCGGGTGGCTGTTTTGTCTCCAAAGTACCCTCCTTTAGGAGAGCCACGGGAGGATGAGGGAGCCTCTACGGAGCCCTGGGGGCGTCCCAGCTATGCTTTGGGCTTCGATCCTCACGGCCGGCACTTGGAGACCATAGCAGCTCCGAGGGAGAAAGACTGGGCTCTCGACTCCCGTCCACAGCCACAGCCCGGGAACCCAGGGGGGTGCGCTGTGAGTCCGCACTGGCTCGATGGCGGGGAGAGAGAAACCCGCAGGGCTTCATGTTGCTCTACGTGGCCGGTGGCTCCACTGGCTGCGAGACAGGCCCAGCTTGTGTTTCGTCCTTGCCACCGAGCCTGCACTGGGCCCTCCTGGCAGGCAGTCTGGCGTCCAGACCAGACGTGGGAGGAGCTCAGAACAGACTGGAGGGAGGGTCAGGTTCAGTGCTGGGGTCCTTTCAGAAAGAGGGCACCTGAGATAGGAGCCCGCCCCAGCATGCCCAGGGACCTGCTAAGGGTCTGTAAGGGGTGGCTGGGTCCTTGGTCCTTTCCAGAGCCACAAAGAGAGGGGTCCTCACAGCAAGCAAACCACCTTCAGAGGCGGCCTCGAGGACCCCTCTCCTCACGGCTTTGAAAAGGGTGTTCTGAAACCGGCGTCAGCCCCACCATTCTTCCATATACCCAAGGTCATGGAGGGCCGTCCCTGTGGCTCATGTGGGCACACGAAGGCCCCAGAAGTGCCACTGCCACTTTGTGTCATTATTGCCTGAAAATGACTGCCCCCAAGGATGGCTGCTGTTCCTGCCTGGAAAAAAACTGGTTTTTGGAAATGGCTGAAGGACGCCATTCACAAAGGCCATGACTCAATGCCTTGGCTCTCCCGTGCTGCCAGAACACAATACCACAAGGGGGAGGATTTAATGAACAGAATTTCTTTTTCTCTCACCATTGAGGAGGCTAGAAATCTGAATTTGGGGTGCCACCTCGAAGGGAAGGCTTTTTCTCTGTGCGCTAGAGGAAGTCCTTGTCTCCTTTCAACGTCTGGGAGCCCAGTGTCCCTGGGGAATGTCCCTGCTGTGTCTTGGCATCAACCTTCCCCTGGGTCCAAGGACCACTCTGCTCAAGGGCCCTGCATCCAAAGAATGAATGCCACTTGCACACGGTCTCTCTTGGTGGTGGTCAGCGCCCCCCTGTCTCCACTCGCTTCTTCCTCCTTTGATCTCTTATTAAGATGGAAGGTGATACAGGCCCATTTGCCCTTGACATCTGATTAGGGCTGTAGCCAGGATAAGGTGCTGCCTCTGACTCTCGAGCCGAAACCAGGTCACTGCCATTGAGCTGATACTGGCCCTGTCCGTTTCCAATACTGTGGCTCTTAAGGTCCTGGTCGAGGAAGCCCACAGAGGGAGTCCTACTCTGGCCTATGGTTCACTGTGAAAAGGGGTGGACACTGCTCATCTAGCACCAGTATTAATATTACTGGATGTCCATCTGTTTCCTTTATTAATTCTATTGGATG